TTAATTAAAACATTGGTTCCTTGTTTGACTAATTGTTTAATTTCTTTGTTATCAACTCTTTCAGTAGGCAAGTGTGGGTGAGTTTTGTAATCTTCATTAATATATTTATACTCAATAAACTTTAGTTTTTCACCTTCACCTTCTGTTTTTAATATTTCTATCTTCACTTTGCATTTTGGACACTTGTAAATTTTTCTTGAACGGTCTTGAAGTATAAATGTGTACCCATTAACAGTCAGAAGCATATGCTTTGTTCCATCTTTTGATCTTTTTCTGCTTGGTGTTTGAGTAAGTTCTTCCATTTGAATATAGTTTCCGAATTTTTGGAATTTAAAAAATATAATAAAATATTTATATTGCAATTGTAAAACAAAATACTTGAAATATGTCTGATTATAGTTAGATTTTTATTAATAAAACATGTGTATTTATATCTAATTCTATAATGGTGTATTTGTTATTAAAAGTAAATAGAATAAGCGTTTATCTAAATATGATACAAATTAAATGATAAATTTATTTATAATATTTTATATATATTTGTTTTATCATTTGTTGATAAATACAAAAATAACCCCATTTTGATCTTTCAATAAAAGTTATATTGTTTCGAATGTGTTATTAATAATTTATGAAGGGAACTTACTGTACTTTTCTGTTTATACCGATTTAGAGTGATTTTATAAAGTTTTAGAAACTAAAAATAAAACATTGTATGAAAATAATTGAATTGATTTTTCGTTGATTTGCTTTTGAACTATTGTTGAAACACATTCAATACATCATTATTCGAGTGCAAATTATTTAATTCAACATTATTCGGCCCGTCCACCCTTTGGTCATTAATCTTGCAATATTTTGTATTTTTTTCTTGTGCACAATTTCAACGGTTCACCATAACTTTCAACTTACTTGTTTATCTTTTTGATGTATTTTTTACAAACAACATGACACACTATAAAAATGTTTTCATTACTTGTATTATCTATTTATTTTTTATATTTCAATTATTACTACAAATGCTCAATTATATTTAAGTCACAACTCAGAGCTGGCCAATTTTTGATGATAAAACGTTTTTATTATTCAAAAAAATAAAGTGTACAGTAAAAACTTTAAAGAGTGGGCGGGTGTGGTAATTATGTTTTCCAAAAGTGGGCATTTTAAGCCAATCAAACATTAATTACCGCTCTATAAAGAACTTTATTTTTAGTTTCATTGAAAAATACCCTCTTTTGAGAGAATCCGCTTTTCAAAAGTACCGTTTTTGAAAAGTTTTACTGTATTTTGATTTGTGCACATTGGCGTTGTATTTCATATTTTTTCCCTTTGATTACTTTTTAATTGTTTCATTTTTATTACTGTATTGCTTTTATAACGTTTTGATTATTATAGAGGTTAAATACAAAATTGATTAAAATGTCAGTATATTGTATTGTTTTATAACTTCTATATTGATACACATCTTTATATTTTGCTTTTTATATATTATTAAGTCAGTAATTGTTTGATTTTGTCAAAATCTCTCCAGTTATCTAATTTATATCAACACATTTATCTTTAAAATGAATAGAAAGATACAACTTTTTAGGTCAAAAATTGTTTGATAATCGACGTATTTTCAAGTAAGTCACTCCAACAATAATCGTTTACAAACTGACACATCATGATATCATGAAAACTTGAAACTTTAACTTATTATTTTTTCGAATTTGTTTATTTTATCATCTGTAATTAATTAGAATTCCAAGTTAAAATTCAACTAAATTTTAATGATCAACACATTTACTCGATATTAACAATTAATAGAATTACTTTATTAAATTAAACTTAATTACGTCAATTATATCCAAACGTATTTTAATATAAATAATGAAATACATTTTACTCAATATTTTAATCATAATAAAAATGTGAAACGATTGTTTTTATTTTTTAGTGTTAAAAAAGATTTTCTTTGTTTCTAAAAATAGTAAAAATAATGACGATTTTATGGATAATAAAATAACAGGGAGATAAAATAAATTTCAAAATAATAAAGAGGTCATACACTTTTTTGTTTCAATTTAACATCAAAAAATTATATTTTTCATATAACCACACCTAATAAAAATATATAAAATTTAAATATCTTAGGTAAAAATTGCATTTTTTACCTCTAATTGAGGGCAATGACGAATTAATGAAAAGAGTTTTTAATAATTTCATGTATATCAATTTTTAAATATCTTATAAACTATAAAATATTTGAATAATTTATAACAGGGTCGGCCAAACGATCATGTTATTGAAAAAAAAACTTAAAAAACATTAAAATGGTAAATAAAATTAACATTTTTGAAAAACAAAAAATAAATGACAAAACTAGGGATGAAGTAAATCCATTTTAACTGTTTACCAAAAAAGAGAAAAAATTGGTAAAATATTTCTCCAATTTACGATCTTAAAGATCCCTATATTTTTTAAAAAAAACATTTTTATTGAAAATCAAAAAAGTAATAACAAATTGCAATTAAAAACAGTTAATTCAAAAAGAAAAAATTTTAAGATTTTTGCCGATATACAAATATTTTTTTTCTTGCTCAAAGATTTACATACAGAAAAAAACATCAGACAAAAAAAATCATACAAATACCAACATTATTTATTTCAAATACTGAAATTTTTTAGCAAAAAGAACACAATTCAAACATTTCTTCAGATAAATTTTTTCTGTCTTCCGTAAAAATATGTTTAGTTATAGAAAACAATCTCTTACAACTAGTCTCGGTAGCTGGTATATGAACGTATTTTAAAGCAATTTTGTATAAAATTGGGTACAAATTTATTCCCACTTCACACCACCAAGTACCGAGATTTTTTTTCACATCTTGTTAAAACGTTAAGCATTCTTTGTTGTTTGTCCAAGAAATTATCAATTTCTGACGACTCTTCAATTTCTATTTTAAATGGAACAATTGGTACTGAAGCACCTTTTGCATCAACAGTTTGGTGAGAATTATCAATTACATTTTAATGTCTTTTAATTCTTCATTAATTAACATTTTTGCTTTTTCAAGAAACATTCCTTTAAGTTGGTACGAATAAGGAGGGTCTAATAATGTAGAAATAAGCCATTCTTTTTTTTTGATAATTTTTTAAGAAGTATTTCAAATTTAAATAATAAAACAAGATAAAATTCCAATTCCACATCGTTCTCTTTTAAAAAACACCAGTACAATAAGGTTTTTTATTCAATAACCCAAATTTGAACATTTGTTCGTTTTTTTGAATTAAATAATAATTTTCTTCCCAACAAACAATTCCATTTTCCAATGGTACAATTATTTCAAAATGTGTTAATTTTGATATTATTATTTCACATATTTTTATTGTTGAAGGAATAACAAATGACGAAGTTGTATAATTTTCACTACTTAACAATTCCGTTTGTGTATTTATTTCGGAAAGTATATTTTGTATTGATTCCAATAGTTCGAAATTTGGTGTTTGAAGTTCACTTTTTGTTTTTTCTTTATTAAGTACAATCTCAAGCCCTTCTCTTTTTTAATATACTTCTTAACAGTAAAACACTGTATTGAAACGGGTTTCTACTCTATTCACAAATTTGCTGTTAAAAAATCAATTTTGAACTCCTTTTTTCTTCTTTGTCTTCATTACAATCTAAATGATCGTTAATTGAAGGAACAATTTTTCTTTTGAGTGATTTGTCCAAACATTCATATTGCAATTCTTCAAATGTTTCTTTTTTGTTGTTGAAATATGCTAAAACTTAAAATGAACTGACACGTATTAGAGATTGCCACGAAATTGTTTAAAAACTGGATCTTGGCCGACCCTGCTATTTGTAGGTTTTTAAACAGAGAAAAAACGTATATTTGTGGGTTTATCATGGAATTGTGAAGAAATTTCTTTTTGCCATTTTTTCCGTAAAAAACAGTGTTATAGAAAATATAGTATTTTATTTATTATAATAAAACTATATTATTTATCTAAGTAAGATAAATAATATAATTTTATTATTTATTTTTAGTTTTGTTTTATATAATTTAAATACACTAAGATAATTTTAGTGTACCTAAATTCAAGGTTCGAAAGCAAAATAATTATTTGTGGGTTTTGCATTTGATTTATCGATTGAACCACAAATATAAATACCCGCAAATAGACACTTTTTACTGTATTTGATTTTGTTGTTTTTTACGTTTTTATAAATATTAGTATCTTTTTAAATTTTTTTCTCAATTATTTTGTCTTTTAGTTCATAATTTGAACTCGTTATTCCATTTTAATTTTACTATAATTGAACTACACTGTATAATATATTTTTTTCAAAATAAACAAAAACACTGCTCTTTTTAACAGCATTAGTCCGTTGGTAATTAGGTACGTCGGCGAGTTAACATACAATCGTTAGTTTTATTCAATAAACTATATTTTTGTCGTTTTATTTATTTCAATTTATAATTTATTTAAAAACAGATTATACAAACTATTGTTCAATTAATTAGATTAATACAATTTTTTTGGAAAATAAAATAACTATGGTTTAAACGTTGATGTGTTTTTTATTTTAAAAAATATTCATGATAATTTAACACTCGTAAAAAAGCTTTTGTGGATATAACATATAATGATTAATAAATACAAACTTTTCTTGATGCATTCAAAGAATAATCTTCTTGGTTATAAAAACTAAAAAATATCTGAAAAGTTAAAGTTGTAATAAAGATTTGCTTTTACATGTATTTTTTAATTAAATTTGAAATTTATTTAAAACGTAAACAAAAAATGGTGTTTAAGTTAAAACAGAAATTTGAATTAAGTTAATTTAATTAAATCAAAGTAAAAAATGAATACTAAAATATTGATCACAGAGTTTAACAATTAAAATGATAATCAAAATTTTATTTTTATGAAATAATATTTCAAATTTTAAAAATTAAATAAAAATGTTCATTTAAATTATCACCAACAATAGTAATAAAACAAATTCTGTCATTTTTCTAATACCGTTTGAAACGATTGGTTCATCAATTAAATCTGAAAACACCACATTCTTTCCTCCTTTTAATACACAGTGACCTTTTGTGTATTTTTCGATTTTTATTACTTCTCCATCACACGTTTTTTCATTAAAAATTTTGAATTCAAAAGTGTCATTATTTGTTGATGCTAAAACTGAGGTTGCTGTTCCAATTTCGGTGCAGTTAATTTTATACAAATTAATTTGTGGCGCTCCAATTGTATCTTTTAAAATACAATTTTCTGTGTTTCCATTATTAAATTGTGAGACTTTAAACTTTGGGTATTCTTCTAAAAATTCAACATAATCAAATATTTGTGTTGTTTCAACTTCTTTTAATGAATTGCAATCAACACCAACAAAATACATCACAACATCGTTTTGCTTTACAAATTTTAAAGAACCACTTTCACCATCAAAGTAACATTTATTGAACTGGTAAACTGTTTTAAAGTCACTTTTTGTTGAAACACAAGTTTCACCACCTTTTAATACACCTCGTATTATTTCTTGTGAAAATATCGTTCTTTTATCTAACACAATTTCAGCACACTCACCAGAGTTGTAATATTCAGTTGTCTGCTGACCAACACATGACATCTCTGAATACTTTGCAATTGTGTACACATCACCATTTTTACCGTATTGAATCGACTTATTTCCACTCATATTATAACACGTTGTGTTGTGCATTATAATGGTTTGCTCAACGTCATCTACAGAAGAAACACATTTATAAAAATTACCAAAGTAATTTTCGACTAAATCGTGGCGAGGGAGTCTCTCTGTATATTCAAATGTGTATGCAAAATCCGCTGTTTGGTATTCTATGAGTTCATATGGTGTTAATCCAGACAAGACTATGACTATTTGATTGATTCTAACAAATTTAAGATAAGTGTTTCCTAGTGTTATGTGCACTTTATTAAATTCAAAAACGTAAAGACCATCATCTACGTTTTTTATTGCAAATTTGGTTAAATCAGAAATGGTTTTCTCAGGTTTTGTAGATACCAAATAATACAATCTAACTGTTTGATAATCATCAAAAAGTCCACATTCACCTCTCGAATAGATATTAATCTTATTAGTTTCATTAGAACAGTCAAATGTGGGGAAATACATATACTTATATGAATCACCACTTTTATTTATTTTTAGTGAGCCACTTGGTGTCACTGTACATTCACCAACACTTTCTATTAAAAATTTCGAGTATGCATTTTCATCTTCAAAAAAGACAATTTGAATGTAAGTTGTAAACTCCTCGCACTATATCATGTGGTAATAGTGTAACAAATAAACAAAAGTTCCCGCAAATGCTTGGTGGTCTGTTTTATAGAGAGTGTCACATGAGTTTCCTTCTTCAATTTCGGTAATATCATTATAATGTAATATCTTGATATACGATACTTTCTCATCATTTATACTATTATAAACACACTTCCCAAGCTCAAAGTACACCATTTGATGCGTTTCATGATCATAAATTTCAGACGCATAACTCGCATTTTCATCAACTGCACTTTCAAAAATTGCATCTGCAAAAATGACGCCATTGGAACACTTGCCATATTCATATATTTCGCGATTTATTGGAGAGTCGGAACAATCGTTGGATGAATAAGTTTCAAATACATAAGTGTCATCTATTCGAGTCACTTTTCTAAAGTATTCTCCAACTGCAACACACTTTCGCGATATCAATTCGTAATTTAAATATTGTTGTTCATCCGTTTTTGTACACTTTTCAGTATCACTGTATATGTTTTTAACAACGTAATTTTCTGGAAATGTTTTGAAGAAACGCATATTATAAAGTTCGCTCTGATCTTCAATTTCGACAAGGTTGTCACATGAAAGTCCCCTTTTCAATATCACTATTTTTCTAAACCTTTCGAGTTTGAAAAAAGTTCCATCGACACTTCTATGGCATTTATCTAAAACATAAATTTCTACATTTTTTCCTTCTTTTTTCACTGCAAAATTTGCATTTGGATCAACGGCTGGTTGAATAACTTCAGAAAAGACACCATACATTGACATTAAATATGTCTGACATTTTCCTTTGGTAAAAGTTGTTACATCAAGGGGTCTTCCTTTGCAGTTATTTAAAACGAAATATTTTAAAGTGTATGTCTCGCCACTTTTTGTTGCTTCAAAAGAAATAGAATAATTAGTGTCTACATCTGCATATGAATTACACCCAGCCTTATATGGTATTGATAAAGGTAGTGCAGTGGGGTCTCCAATTAAACATCCAACAGACTCTCCATAAGTATTGTAAACGAAATCGTGTTCGGGGAAGGTATCACGAATTTCAAAGAATGGCTCATCATACTGTATTGGGGACTTTATGAGTGTAGAACAGTTATATGGAGAACCATAAAAAACTATAGTACCTATCGGATCTTCTTCTACTTTTATGTATTCATTGTAGGTGCAAAAATAACATTTTCCTATTTCAAAAACAAGATGAAATGAATTGGTTTGAACAACATATCGAGAAACAGACAATTCAATAAAGATGAAAAGTATTAAACACTTCGTCGAATTTATATTTTTGAGTTGATATTTTATTAATTTTTATACAAATTTTATTATTATTTCTGAGAAAAACACTCTAAAAATATAATTTATAATATTCCACTCTAAAGTTAAATATATTTTATGAATATCGTTTTTAGTTCATCGAAAAACAAAATATTTTTAAAGTAACACATGATATATGTATGTAAAACTTAAATTTGAACTTATTGGAAACTATAATATTATGATTAACTATTTAATTGATTATACGTTAAAATTTTAATCGAAAAATTAACGTCACGTTTTAAAAAAGTCCAATTTAATCTTATATTTATACGTCATTTTAAACTTAATTTAAAAACTTTTGTTTATTTATTAAATTATGTTTATAAATTAGAATTCAAAAATCGATAGTGTATTTATTTTATTTTTTGGTAATATGTCGGGTTTTATCTTACAATACTTTTATCCTCTTTTTTGGATCTAACAAAAATTTGAGGAAAAAGTGGCTTAAATTTACACATAAAAAATAAAAATACACCTTTTTTCAAACAAAAGTTGCTCAAATTTACAAAAGAAATAATTTTGAGTTGTTTAAAATAAAAATATCATAAATGCATTTCATTAAAACCCAATCATGTTATTTTAGATTTGAAACAATTCAATTAAAAATTTGTCAAAAACAAACTATTTTAAAAGGATAAAAAACATTTACATAAATAAACAATATTGACTTTTGTAAAACTTATTTTTTTAATTTCAACAAAAATCACATTGAAAACAAATTAATATTAATTAATAGCAATATTTAAACTTATAATCTTTAAAATGATTACATGTCTGTTATCAATAAAACAGATAAGCTCATTGTTAATTTATTAAGAAAAGGGAAATCATTTTCTTTTATTACCAAAACACTTCATGTATCACCAAACAGAGTTTCTTATAACAAAAAGAAAATTGAAAACAATGAAGAGTTAATTTCAAAAACTATAGGCAGACCTTCAATTATGACACAACAAAAAATAATAACTTTGATCAAAAAAACTTCTATTAATCCAGAATCAACATGTTGTGATTTGGCTAAATGTATAAATGTATCAAAATCAACAATTCAAAGATACAGAAAAATAAACGGGTTTAAATATGGCAAACTAAAGAAATCTCCATTTTTAACAAAAGTTAACATTAATAATAGATTAAATTTTTGCAAAAAGGCGGTACTAAAGAAAAATTATAAAAAATGGAAAGAGGCTATTATAAGTGATGAGTCGAGATTTGGATTGTTTTCTGATAATGGAAACTGTTGGTATCACAAAAGCAGGAAAATGAGATATAACAGAATAAATTCATTTAATATTGGAAATCAAACTTTACTTATTAAAAAGAACAATAAGATGTTTAAATCAATGTTTTTAACACTTCCAAAACACAACGATTCATTGATGGTTTGGGGAGCAATCGGAAATAATTACAAATCACAGTTGTTACTATGTGACAACAGACTTAATGCAATTGGCTATCAACACATGCTTGAAAGTAATAAAGTGTTTGATGATATTAGACGAGAACGCAACAAACAAATAGTCTATTTCCAACAAGATGGTGCCTAGCCACACACAGGAAAAACGACATTGCATTTTTTTGGAGAACAATAAAGTGAGATTGACTGGGTGGCCTCCTTCAAGTTCGAATTTATCACCAATTGAAAACGTTTGGTCGATACTTGAAAATAGAATTAGAAAAAAGAAAAAATATTTTAAAAACAAAAAGAGTTTGTTTAGAGTGCTGAAGAAAGAATGGGAATCGATACCAATGGATACAATTAACAATTTAATGCAATCGATGGAAAAAAGATTTTCTTTTTGTATTCAAGAAAAAGGTATATTCATTGGCCATCTTCTTTAAAAAAGTTGCTCGAGAAAAAAAGTGTTATTACATTAATTGTATCTTATTTTTACGTGTTTTTAATTAAGATTTTCAACAATTAATGGTTTTAATTTTTGAAAAAAGTTTATATTGAAATATAAATAGATTCCGTAGTTTTCCCAAAACATTATGATAAAAATAGACCAAAATATTTTGGGGTACTATCGACTTTTGGGAAACAGTTTACAATTTAGTGTAAAATAGAAAAAATCTTTGTTTATTATTTACAATATAAGATATATTTTTTGTGTTTGTTAAGACAATCAAATGTCTTTTTAATAGTTTTTTATTTGTGATTATGTCACCTTATAATAATTATTGAATAATTTGTTTGTTGTTTTGTGTCTTGTCGAGAAACAAACATGTATAAATGACATCACACGACAACACGATTTGCAAGTTTTATCTGATTCGCATCTCACCCTTTCCACATGGTTTCACACGCGTTGATATTATATCATATTATATATAACATCAATGTAAACAAAATAATAATTTATAAGCCAAGACCAAAACGATTGTAATAAACAAAATCAAAATCAAAACCAAATACTAAAAGTTTAATTTTTAAAATACATATATTAATTGATTTTTGCATGCAAACTGTAAACAAAAATTGTTCACATGTTGATTCTGCTCTTAATTTTTTGTATTGTTACTAAAATATCATGGTTTATCAATCACATGGTTCGTAGTTAAAAGAACATATTTTTCAAAAAACAAAAATCGTGTTTTCAAAAACACAGATTTATCTGCTACCATCCTTTTTCCACCAATATTTTTACCAAAATAAAATATTTGCCGCAAGTGTTTTTTAAAGGAAGTCC